TGGGAAATTGGCGGTGAGGGGACTGCCTGGGGGGCACTTAGGGAATCCATGGTAGGGTTTTTAGTTAATCTGGTTTGGAAAGTTAGCCGGGGGATTTGAGGACCCCGCCTGTGAGAGAGGTCTGTAGGGGAGAGGGTGGGTGTGGAAGAGAGAAACGATGTAGAGAGGCAGGGAGCTGGAGCTGGAGCTGGTTTACCAGAGTCCTGGCTGACCCAGTCTGTCTGCCTAATCTGGAAGCTGGGAATTTGGCGGTGAGGGGAGGGGACCCCCTGAGTGAGGATTTAGGGATCTACGGTAGGGTGTTTAGTTAATCTGGTTTGGGAAGCTAGTCCTGGGACCAGAGTCCTGGCTGAGCAGGTCTGTCTGCCTGACCCAGAGGCTGGGAATTTGGCGGTGAGGGGACCACCTGGGTGGGGATTTAGGGTTTTATGGTAGAGTGTTTAGTTAATCTGGTTTGGGAAACTAGTCCTGGGACTTGAGGTGAAGGAATTGGAGCCCACCTAAGAGAGAATGGTAAGGGACAGGATGGGGGTGAATGAATCAGTTTCTGATTCTTGTGTGAGACTCAATCCTTCCTTTTTTGAGTTTAGGTCTATTTCTGTTTGTATACTTTATGTGCCTTTGTTGTTTTCTTATTAGTATGAAAAGCTGGTTGGTCTAGGCTTCAGGTTATCTCTTTTGATTTTATATTGGAGGGGCCTGATGAGTTTAGTCCAGCTGTTCAGGAGTTCCCACAGAGGCCCAGTTGGATGAGCATCAGATGCTCAGTCAGAGGTCCCTCTAGTCAGCAGGCACAGTACAATTTGGGAGGCTTGCTAGATAGAGGTAGGACTTAGGCACTCTTAGACAGTCAGGGGAAGAGGCTGGCCTCAGGAATCCCAGGCAGGTTGGGGGTGGGGACAGCCAGAGTAGAAGCCTGATCTCTGGTGTGAAAAAGCAAGTTGGGGGTGGGGGCAGGCTGTGAGGTCTCTAGGGAAGTAGACTGAAGAATTGGGTTGGTCTGGGTGCAAAGGATCAGGAAGCAGTGGGGGGATCTGAGCCAAGAGGATAGTCCACAGGTCTGGGGTGCCAAGAGAAGTGGGCCTGTGCCCAGGGTTAGAAGGAGAAAGTGATGTGGGAGCTGGGAGATTGAATCAGGTTGTGGGAGTCAAGGTGCAGTGGGCAGGGTCTATTAAAGACTATATTTGAACACACATAAGAAAGATGGGGGGAGAGGGGAAAAGAGGGAGAGAGGGAGAGAGAAAGAGAGATATAAATGGATTTAAAGACAGAAATCACATGGTCATCTCAATAGGTGCAGAAAAGGCATTTGACAAAATCCAACATGCATTCATGTTAAAAGTCCTATAAGAAATTGGTCTGGAGGGAACATACATCAACATAATTAAAGCTATGTACAACAAACCCATAGCCAACATCATTCTAAATGGAGAAAAAAATAGAAACATTCTCATTAAAATCAGTATCCAGACAGGGCTGTCTACTGTCTCCACTCCTTTTCAATATAGTGCTTGAAACCGTTGCAAGAGCATTAAGACAAGAGGAGGAAATTAAAGGGGTATCAATTGAAAAAGAAGAAGTCAAATTATCCCTATTTGCAGATGATATATATATATATATGAGACCCCAAAAATTCCAATAGAAAACTGTTAGAATTGATTAATACTTTCAGTAAAGTGGCAGGATACAAAATTAGCTTAGAAAAATCAGTAGCCTTTCTATATACCAATAACAAGCAATAAGAAAAAGCAGTAGAGGAAAACCCTCCCATTCTCAGTAGCCTTTAAAAAAGTGACATATTTAAGAATAAACCTAACCAAAGACATTAAACATCTCAACAATGACAGTTTCAAAACTCTAAAGAAAGAGATAGAGGAAGACACTAGGAGATAGAAAGACCTCCCATGCTCTTGGATTGGTAGAATCAATATTGTGAAAATGACCATCTTACCAAAAGCAATTTATAGATTCAGTGCAATCCCAACCAAAATACCCATGAAGTTCTTCACAGAGCTTGACAAAATAATCCTAAAATTCATATGGAATTACAAAAGACCCCGGAAAGCCAAAACAATCTTGGGGGAAAAACAATGCTGGGGGGATCAGCATACCAGATCTCAGATTATATTACATAGCTGTCGTCATAAAAACAGCATGGTACTGGCACAAAAATAGACATGTAGAGCAATGGAACACAATAGAAGACCCAAACAGGAGTTCATATAATTTCAGCCACCTGATATTCAGCAAAGGTGCTAAGACACACAATGAAGGGAAAATAGCTCTCAAACAAATGGTGCTGGCAAAACTGGAAGAAAAATGAAACTTGACCCTTTCACCCTGCACAAAAGTCAACTCCAAATGGATCAAAGACCTCAATATGAAATCTGAAACTTGGAAACTGCTAGAAGAAAACATAGGCAGCACCCTCCAAGAGATGTAGGTGTAGGAAAGGACTTTTTAAATCAGACAACAGCTGCTCAGGCACTAAGGTCAACAATCAGTAAGTGGGACCTCATTAAATTACAAAGTTTCTGTACTACAAAAGAGACAACCAAGGATGGGAAGAGGAAACACACTGAGTGGGAGAGACTCTTCACCAACTACACATCCGACAGAGGATTAATATCCAGAAAATACAAAGAAGTCAAAAAAGAAAGAAATAAAATAAATGACCCAATAAAGAGATGGGTGATAGACCTGAACAGAGAGCTCTCAAAGAAAGAAATAAAAAGGGCTAAGAAGCACCTTAAAAAGTGCTCAACGGCCAGGCGTGGTGGCACACGCCTGTAATCCCAGCACTTGGGAGGCAGAGGCAGGTGGATCTTTGTGAGTTCAAGGCCAGCCTGGTGTACATAGTGAGTTCCAGGACAGCCAGGGCTACAGGGAGACCCTGTCTCAAAAAGACCAAAAAAAAAAAAGTGCTCAACATTCTTAGTAATTAGAGAAATGCAAATAAAAGCCACTTTAAGATTCCATCTTACCCAAGTCAGACTGGCTAAGATCAAGAGAACAAAAGATTCCAAATGCTGGAGAGGATGTGGAGAAAGAAGAACGCTCATTCTCTTCTGGTGTGAATGCAAACTAACGTAACCAAGTGTGGAGAACCCTCAAAAAACTAAAAATGAACCTACCATGTGATCCAGTGATTCCACTCCTTGGCATGCACCCAAAGGACTCGATCACACTGTAGAGATACCTGTACATCTATGTTTGTTGCTGCTCTCTTCACAATAGCTAAGAAATGGAAACAACCTGAATGTCCCTCAACTGACGACAGTTGGTTAATGAAAATGTGGTACTCAATGGAGTTCTACTCAGCTGTAAGAAAAGATGAAATTTTCAGGTAAATGGATGGAGCTAGAGAGTGTTACACTAAGTGAAGTAACACAAACACAGAAAAGCAAGTGACATATGTTCTCCCTCATTTGCAGATTGTAGCACCAATCCCTTATATGTGAGTATATAAATTGTGATATAACACCAGGAACCAGGTAAAGGCAAAGGACACGTGGACGTAAAGGAAAAGAAACAACCTGAAAGGGGGATAGTAGGGAACAGATGTTACCTGAGGGAGGTGGAAAAAGTGGGAGCAATCGGCAGGGAGGAGGGCGGGGAAGGACATGCAAGGGACCATGGTGTTGGGGAGGGAGGGAAGTCAGTAGAGGAAAGATGGTGGGAGTCAGGAGGTATTTGGGGGCGGCGGGGATAATGGGGCCACTGTGACTAGGGAGGGAAGGAGGAGGGAAGACAGATAAGAGAAAAAAAGAGTGGCGAGTGAATCTCAGGGGGCTAAGACACCTAGAGGGAAAAGTGATGCCTTAGAAAGAAACTCTATGAGAAATGAACAGAGAGTGTCTGAACATTAATGCATGTGTATACCTGGGAGCCGCTTGGCAGGGAATGCAGTGCCACATAGAAGAGACCTCCCTTAGAGTGACAAGCATGCCGTACAGCACTCATCAAAGAAGCTTCTTTTTGCAACATCTGGTCAGGCACAGAGAACATAAGCTAGGTGACACATCTGCCATCAATTCTCTACAACTGAGGCTCATGGAACATAGCGGAATAAGGTGCAGAAAGAGGGCTAATGCACCCCTCAGCTCTCACCAATGAGGCTTCCTTGTACATCAGAGTGCAATGCAAACAGAAGGCCACAACTGGCCAAATTTTGGAGAATAAGAGACTGTAGAGTGTATGATGGAACTCCTATATGGACCCTCACCCACCCACGGCTCAGGGACCATTGCAGACAAGGAGGCAGAAAGATTGTAAGAGCCAGGGCTGGTTCATGAACACAGGGAGGTGGAGGCTTCCAGGCCACTGAAGGCATGCTCATGTGAGCCTGTGGCAGTGGTAGCGTCAAGCACCGGACCCCTGTCAGCTCAAACAACAGCCCAAAGGGGAGGTGAGAAATAGGTGGCAGGCCAGCACTAGATTGAGAACTATATAAGACTGATTGCTGCTGGGTGAAAGAGAGTATGACTTACATATGACCACTGGATGGGCTGACTAGACTCCAGTGGATGCATTTACACTGAAGGACATTTGGGTATAAACACCTAAATGAATAGGTCTCAGCATGTATGGTAGAGTACATAGGTTTCAGCCGGGGGCGGTGGGAGGGGGGGATGGGGGAGGTATGGATGAGTGACATCTGGATTTGGGTGGGAAATGTGGTAGGAAATTTTCAAAGCTCTGTTAAAATAGATAAAAAAACATTCTTCTAATTAGGGGTTGGCAAAAGTTCCTGTTCAAGGGCCATGCAGTCTGTGTCACAACTACTGTCTTAGTGGAAAGGACACCACAGACAGTGAATGGACAGATGAGCATGATTGTACTCAGTAAGACAAGGCGTTATTTTTCTAAGACAGAAAGCAGATTGGTTTAACTAAACCCCTGCTCTGAATGAAACATACGAAGCTACCTCTGTGCATTTTAATCTGTGTTTTAGAACTTATAATCTCACTGTGAAAATTCTCAACATTATTTTATTCTAGTTACTTCACGGAAACCAAGAGATGATGAAAAAGATGGCCAGGCATATAAATTTGTGTCACGGTCAGAGATGGAAGCAGACATCAAAGCTGGAAAGTATTTGGAACATGGGGAATACGAAGGAAACCTCTATGGAACTAAGATTGACTCTATTCTTGAAGTTGTCCAGACTGGACGCACTTGCATTTTAGACGTCAATCCACAAGTGAGCTGCATGGATTCCAAAACCTTTTTTTTCCTGGGGAGTTTTCTCCTATGTGTATGTAGGGGGTGTCAGGAGTGTCTGTTTTATCAGACCAGGAAGATAATTCTTTCCCTCTTATCTTTTGGTGATAGAGAACTTCATTATGGATCCATAGCTAGCTAAGTAAGTCTCTGGTCAGTCAGAGAGCCAAGGCTTGGACAGCAATTAAAAACCATGCAATTAAACCTGCAAAAGTTTAGTGTTTACTTTTTCAAGTAATGCAAAAATGTTTATATTGAGAAATGTTACATTCAAAACTGAAGGCAATAAGATAAAAAAAAAAAAAGAGGTAATTCCCCCTTCACCCCCCACCCCTCAACACAAAACATCCATTCTGTGTTCATTCCATGACTTTAGCTCATCCCTTCCTACCTCTACACTCAACCCCACCTCACTTAAAGATAATAATGCTTTGCTATAGATCTTCACTTTAGTATGCCTCAAATGTCTGTCTGTCTGTCTGTCTCTCTCTCTCTCTCTCTCTCTGTGTGTTTGTGTGTGTGTGTGTGTGTGTGTAGTAACAGAGTTCCTGCTTTTTGTTGCTTTTTCCATAGATGGAACAGTTTTATTTAGATCCTTTACCTTTTTTATTGATTTTTCTTCTTTGACAATTTCATTTATATATATTATATATAATGCATCTGATTACTCTCCCACCATCCTCTCTTTTTTTCCCTGCCCATCCTTATCAATCCCCTGCCCAATTCCTACCAGTCCCTCTCCCAGGTTGGTAACTTTTGGTTTTCTTATGTGGCCCATTTAGTTTAACCAGGGTCATCTATGTGAACATTCAGTGGAAACTATCCATTGGAGCCTGTGAGGTCAACAATGGATAACACAACTAAAAACAAGCCTCCCCCTCTCTCTGAATCTCTCCAAAGGAAATAATTTAGCAGTAGGGGGAAGGGCACCCTCAAGCCCCTCCTCCATCTATTTCTGACTATTGATAGGAGCATTCTTGTAGAGACCCAATGCAAGCACACAGTTGTTCTGAGTTTGTGATTGCAAGGGCTGTGTTTTGCCCAGAAGATGGCATTCAAAGCCCTTCTCTCTGTCTCTTACATTCTCTTACTTCTGTCCTGTCTTCCCACAGTGTGCCTCACCCTTACAGGGAATGGTGTAAATGTCTTTTGTTTAGGGCTAAGCATCCACCCATCCATTAGTCTCATCACTTTGTACAATCGTGAGTCTCTGCATCCATCACTCTTCACCAGAAAGAGTCATCTCTGAAGAAGACAGTAGCATTTGTCTATGGATATAAACATAAATGTTAGAAGGCAATTTAATGCTATGTCGATTTATCTTAAGCTTTTTAACGAATGGGTCACTATTTTGGGAAAATACCATGTGGAGTTAGGACAGAGGGTGGCAGGTAGTAAATTATGTCCTTAACCTAAGGAAGGAAGCAGGTAGACTTTGATTTACACCAGAGGCTAGCACAGTCCAAGTTCTGATATCATATAAACTGGTTTATAATTCATCTTTGCACAGGCACTGAAAGTACTGAGGACGTCTGAGTTCATGCCTTACGTGGTGTTCATTGCTGCTCCAGAGCTAGAGACGCTACGTGCCATGCACAAGGCCGTGGTAGATGCCGGAATCACGACCAAACTTTTGACGGTGAGCACTTCTTTACTGACTAAGAGTTTCTCCTGAGTCCTTTTTTAATGTTTATGCCCATCTAATCATACTTAGGAATAAGCATTGTGGCCTGAATTCCCCCTGGGTCCCCTGCGTTATCATACAAACCATATAATGTATTTTACGTGCATTTATTAACTTACAAAGGAATGAGAACCCAGTGCCTAGCCCAACGGCGCAGCTCAGAGCCTGCCATGCCACGACTACCATAGTCCCTGCTAGTATTCGCTCACGCCTCAGGGCCAGCCATCTCGCCCCAGGTCCACAAGAGTCAGTCCATTCTGTCTTTGAGCTGGTGCGGCTGGCTGCGCTGTTCCCCACACCACTTGAGCTACCGGTGGCCCCCGGCTTCCGTCCCAAGATGGCTCCCAGCAGCCCCTTCCTAGTCCACGCTCCCCGTCAGGCCCCGCCCCGCCCATTGGAGAAACTAGCCAATTGGGAGATAAGCATACTATGTAGGATTTTACAGACTAGAAATTCATTCACTAGATGTATTTAGGATTTGAAACAGTATTGCTTTTTATGTGATAATCCTTCTTAATTTTAAAGCAGAAGTTTAGTTCTCTTGTAAAATAAAAGGACCAGAATTAAAATATTTTACATATTAACCCAGCACTCTTCATTTTACTAATGAGGAAATTTGATCCCGCACCATTATGTTTATCCTGCGGCTTATACAGGGAGAGCTAGCTGCCCCACTCTTCAGTTCTGTTATGTGCTTTCCCTTTTCTTCTCTCTTTTTTTCATCTTATAGAAAATTTAGGATATTTTGAAGAGCACCCTCCACGGGCCATTCCTGCTTCAGTAGGCCTCCCATCATGCACCTCATATAAGGAGTTTTGAAATAAATCTTTGCTATATCACCAATACATGCTCTAGTATTCATCTCTGAAAGATAAGAACTTTTAAGAAACATGAGCATAATGCTATTAATACACAAAAAATTAAACAATAGCTTAATTTTATATTGATGCACAGTCTGTGAATTTTTCCAGGACTTAGAATTTTTTCTAACTGATTTTTCCAAGTTGGGATCCAAACCAGAAAAACACATTACATTTACTTAATGTCTCCTAAACCGTTTTTGTTGTTGTTGTTGTTGTTTTTTGTTTTGTTTTGTTTTTAAGCTAATGGAAGTACAGTTTCTATTTGTATATGTCTGAAAGTATCCAGTTTGGGTGTATGTATACATTTATGGAACCAGCCCAACCAGAATACTTTACAGGTTCCTCACAGTCATCTTCCCTGGGCCCCTTTGTTACTAGCCCTGCTGTCCCTTCTTTCTGTCTGTAGCAGGTAGTATTAGTCCTTAGTGCTTTTCCAGGTTGCCCCGTGTCTCTACTTTCTGAATATGTGAGGTATAGCAGGCAGTGCCTGCCGACATCATTTACTAACTCGAACATTGTGTCGGCTCTGGGTCACTTTTGATTGAACTACTGATTTTTCTGTTTTTAGTGATCACATCTTCCTGCTTCTTTTGTGGTAATCTTTTTCTCAGATACTGACGAGACATTGTTCTGAGATCCAGTTATTGAGAAATAGTTCCTTTCAGGTTTTCCCTTTCAAATTTATAAGACCTGGGCAATTCTTGTTTCAGGGACCCCCCTCTTGAGGAAAGACACATTCAGTATCTTCCCCAGGGCCTGGGAATTAATGAAGGTTTCTCGTCTGATGGGAACAGGCACCTTTCAGTCTTTTCTGGTGGTTCTCCCTCACCCTTGGGTAGCTGATAACGTGCACAGTTGGTGCCCAGCATAATACTGGAAAGGGCCTAATAGAAGCCTCATGGGTCCTCTCTCTCTGCTGCTCTTTTCTGGTTTTCTGACCTACAAACAATCTCCTAAACTCCCAGTCTGCCCTCAACTTATCCTTGGGGTCCTCCAGGACTCCCCTCCCCTAGAAATTCTTTGAAGGCAATAAACAGGATGAGTCATAGGGGTTTTCTCTTTTTGTTTCTGGTCTCTCTGAGATTTCTTTAACTGGCTGGCTGTCTGTTTAGTTGCCAGGTACAAGGTTACTCTATTCTTGTCATTCCTCATTGACTGGGTACAGATGTCTCTTCTGCTTGGTATGTTCTAATCTGTGAATTTTTACTGCCTTCCTCCTTGTCCTCTCTCTCAACATTGCAGTTCAGTTCAGAAAATTGTGTCATTTGTCTTCCAGTCTGGATTTTATCTATTCTCTCCCCCTTGTGTTACTGTCTTCCACCCCTGTGCTACCTGTAAGCTGACAGGGCAGATCCAGAGGTCTGCTCAGTGCAGACTCAGGTTTGTTGTATTACTTGTTTTTGCAAAAACAGTTCGTAAGTAGTAGGGTTTTTTTTATTACATTATTGTATATATCAGACTGGTGCTGGAGAGAGACTGGGGGTGGGGGGGCGGGGGGGGGCTTAGCTCTAGGTTCAGATGCCAGCTGATTTGTAACATTCTGCAGTAACTTTTCATTAATCTTTGCCTGAATTTGATATTTTTTAATAGAAGTGGGAAAGCAATACTGTTCTAAATTTGTCATTCCTTCTAGTTCATAAACTAGAGCTCCTCTTTAAAAGAACTTCATTTACTATTTGATAACTGAATACAGTGTATGCAGGAAAGGAAAGTGTGTACAGGTTCTGTCCCTTTATTAGGCAGCATTCAGAATAATAGGTATGTTCCTTCAGAGCTGTAAGGGGCCACAGGTAACCAAATGAAGCTCACTCTCTTGTTATTCATTAGATGAGTGCATGGGTTCAAACTTAATATGCTTTATGTTGTTGCAGTTTTTCTTATTGGTACTTAGATTGTTCCATCTTTAACCACTAAGAGTTTAGAGACCTGTTTTCAAGAGGTTAGTTAGTCTTGAATAACTTAAAGTGCTACTTGATAGAACAGATTGCAGGCTCTTAAACATTTCCTGTTGTAGGTCAGGAATCAGACATTTCCCTAAGAAGTTCAGATTCCCTTTAGGGTCACTGAAATCTGAAGGCTATAATACAAGATTATATACAGGATTAATCACTGTTTGCAACCAGACACATTTATAGAGATAGAAGTAGACGGCATGCCCTTCTGCTTGTATATACAAAGGACAATGTATCACTAATTCGTACTGTTGGTTTCCAGACTTCTCATTTTGAATATCCTTTCTCCAAAATGCTAGGAAGGTTAGAATATCACATAATTTCCAAGTCTTGTGCTGCCGTAATCCCGGCAGCCGTTTCCTCTGGCGTGGGTCACTGCCACCTCTCTTCCTGCGTCCTCTGTGTCATGTTGCATCTCTACTCAAGACCCATGGGTGTTTGGCTTTTTGTTGTTTTTATCACATCTGGTCCTCTGTGACCAGCTGCAGCCCCACCATCCACTCTTCTTTTAAGTTCTTACATGCACCAGAGCCATTTCCCTCCTTTGGACACTGCACTGTTTCTTCTACCTAGAATGTTCTTGGTCTGTCAATCTCCATTTTCCATTGATTGTTAACTGTCATTTGCTCAGTGTCTTTCCAGTTATTCTATCTAAAGTAGGTCCTTTAGAGTTCTTTGTGCCTGTTTGTTTCTAAAGTACTTACAATAAGTTGGAAATTTTGTTTTTATTTGTCCTTTATCTCTTTTCCACCAAAAAGCAGGAACCCACTCTTACTGTTATCTACCAATTCTGAAACATTGTAAACACATTAGAAGGGGCCCTATGCATCCTTGTAGAATCTGTAGAACTATAGTGGGCTTCTATGAAAAGCTTTAGTTGTTCATCAGAGCCCATTACTTAAGTACTCCCTGTATCATTCCAGACCATCTCAGAGTACTTAATGAAGTATGACTGGAACTATCATAAAAATAGCTAAAAGTCCAGGAGTATGTGTTTTCATGGTAGATGGCAGCGTATCTTCCAAACACTTAGGTTTCTATGACTTTCTTAGTTTAGGAGGCAAATTGACTTTGACCTGAACAGCCACTACAAGTTGAATTCCATGGTTTACACAGGCTATAAGGTAAAACTCTTTCGAAAGAATTAATCAGAAACCACTTAGAAGTCAGTCACCTGCAATAATTATTATTTTCTTTAGCGTCTTTTAATTAGGAATGTCATCCTAATGTCAGCTGAACAGAAGTTGCTGGCTACTCAGAGATGAAACCATGACGGTGAAGGCTGTGGCATGAGCAGACCGCAGTGCTGTCTTCTTCAACACTATAGAGTAGATTTTGAAAATTAAGATCAGAGTCACAGGAAACAAATATCCAGCCTTCTATTTCTTTCTTTCTTTGAGATTTGATAAAGTAAATATACATTACAATACAAACATTTCTTTTGAAACTTTGACAGGACTCTGACTTGAAGAAAACGGTGGACGAAAGTGCGCGGATTCAGAGAGCATACAACCACTACTTTGATTTGATCATCGTAAATGACAATCTAGACAAAGCTTTTGAGAAACTACAAACTGCCATAGAAAAACTGAGAATGGAGCCTCAGTGGGTCCCAATTAGCTGGGTATACTGATGCTTCAATAAGGTTAACAGTTAAATAAAACCTTTGAAAAGTGACTCAGCAAGTAAACCTTCTACTGGGAAAACACATGCAGTGCTAGAAGGCATCTGCCACGTCTAGGCATTTTTATTGTGTAGATTGAAATAACAGTGCACTAGGCTGAATTTTTATATAATCTGTGGTTGGGAAGGTGTACTAATATATAATTTATCTTAATTTTTCTAACTTTTTATGGATAATCTTTCTATTCATATCACATGAAAAAATGCGTTGAAGCATTTTGTATGTTTTGGTTTAGTGCCCTTGCCTTTTTCATCAAAGGAATTTTCAGATCATTCTCTCTAACATTGGTCTCACATTTTCACTGTGATAATGAATACTTGAAATAGTTTTATAAAGCTATCATTCACTTGATTATTTAATGAAAGGTCAGTTACTTTTAGAAGAAATCAGTGGTTATTGACCTTCTTAATCCAGTTTCTACAGAAGCAGTTTTAATGTCAGTGCTACAACTGGTCTACTATCTTAATCTGACATCAAGTCTTTCTTATGCCACACATTGTAACAGCATGGCTGTCCATTCTGATTTGTACAGATACAATAATTTCCCCTCTCATTTCTAGTGAAAAAAATGAAGAGCAATACCTTGCACTCTCTATGAGGTTATTCTTTTCATTTATTGCAGTGACATGCTGATGCTAATATTACATATTAGTTATTACAGAAACTCTGGCTGGAAGCAGGTCATGCAGACTGAGAGAGTGCCTTCTCCTATAAAACTTTACTTAATGAGACTTAAAGTTTACTTATTTTCACATATAAAATTTTGAACCTACTGCGTTAGGTGTTTTTTTTTTTTTTTTTTTTTAGGGGATTATGGTCAGCAAAACGGTCATGGCTCTGCAGATTTTTGTGGTGTTTAAAGATGCCTCTAGGCTATAAGGTTTTTGTTAATGGTCAGATGTGCTTTCTGAAATGTGATTTTTTGATTGGTAGGATATTTGTTCTGTTTGTTGTGTTGAAAACCAAAACCATTGAACAGTTTACAAAATTGGGAAATAATTGTCAGCTATTTATATATATAGATATATATATACACACATAACATATACATTATATAATACTTATGTAATATATTAAATAATATTTTATATGTTTTAGATTTGTTAGGAAAATAGACTTTTTGTTTAATGATTAGGAAAAACATTCTTTAGATGCATTGCCACAATGTATAAATTTCCACACGCACCTTAGTATCTTTCCGAAGGATTCTTCTATGGTGTGAATTCTTCTTTCATCATATTCAGAGATGTAGCTCATCACTGAGCTACATAATTTAAATACTGATGAATGTCTTTGGTGACAGGCACCAGGCACCTGGCTTCTGATTTTGTCTTTCCCCTCACCAAAGCTATCATAGGGAATGCTGCCAGCGGAGAGGTCTTTTGGGGAAGAGTAATAGATATAATAAGCAGCGTTCACACATTGCTTTAAATGGTTTTTGTAATAAAACTCTTAAGTTGCTATATTGGTTGATACTGGGAATCTATAGGCTTTTTAAACTTTAATTCTAGAATATCATAGCCAAAACATGAATTGTTTTTCTTTGTCATAAAACAGGAAATTGTTAACAAATGGATTGTACTCTTAATAACGTTAGAAAATGTTAAACCACATATATTTGCTGAAATTCTTGAATTCTCAAAACAACATAAGTCAAAACACATATTTAGGTGATACCCTGTGATTAATGTTTCAACACACTGTAATGTAAGTTTTGAGAGAAATTTCAGTTCTACACTCAGGAAATGTGCTGCATTCCCCAGTGTACCTTGATGTTGCTTCATGGAGCCCTTCTAAGTAGCTTTGGGAAAATTGTAGCAGCACAGGAGTCTATCCACAGAATATTTCTGCCATCTTGATGCAACACAGATGATAATCACATATATTTATAGCATTTTCATTCGATTAAAAAAATGTCTGGAATATCATCTCTACTTAACATTGTTTCTATTACAAATGGTATTCGTGATTGACCACATAATCACATTAGATTCTTTATAATGAAATGATGCAATTTAGTTCATTGTCATATAAGTAACAAGGTTAAGAAAATAAAGTTGTTTCTTAGTTTAAAAAAAAAAAAAAAGCACTGAACTTGACACCCATGTCCCCACTTGAGTCTTCAGGAATCAGCAGGCCTCACCACAGGATACTTCCTAGGTAAAGTGATTAAGGAATTGTGTACTTCACTTATGGGAAGGGTCTAACTAACAAACTTACTTATAATTGCTTCACTGAAGACAAGAGAGTTTACAGTTGTGTTGAATGATTGGTACTAACAGGTAAAATGTACACACATGCATGTGCTTTGGAGAAGTGATAGACCGATTCCGAAATGCACTGCAGAGGTCCTTGTAGATAGACGAGTGTCCATATTTGGCACTTGGGGCATGGTTATTTCCTTACAACAGTTATGTGTATTCTTCACTTTCAGTTATACAAATACTCATGGAAGTGATGTCTCTGAATAAATCATGTGACCTTTGCTAGTAAATGTATTGAATGTCCTACATTCAATACATTCAATAGCAGGTTCACCTTCATTACAGCCATGCTTTTATTATGCACTCTCCATTTCTGTTATTTAGATAATATCACATGTCAAATACTGCAGGGTTTTGTTTTGTTTTGTTTGTTTTTGTTGGGGTTCACGTGGGCTGACAATACAATTGCTGACCATAACTTTTTAAATCCTAAATTATCATAAACCCAATATGACTACAGCAATAGTAGCCTAAACCCTAAATGCTAGAATCTAGTACATTTTTGTAATAACCTGTAAGGAGAAGTTTCCTTTAAAATGGAAAATTGGTTATTAAGACACACTTTTAGAAAATGACTCAAGGCTAGTATGGTAGTCAGCACCTTTAATCCCAGCATTCAGGAGGCAGAGGCAGGCAGAGTTCTGTGAGTTTGAGGCCTACCTGGTCTACATAGCAAATTCAAAGTCAGCCTGAGTGACATGGCAAAACCCTGTCTCAGAAAAAAAAAGAGCCAGACCTATAACTCTGGTATACCACCAGAGTGTGTCCCTAACGTGTGAGGGCCGGGGGGGGGGAGATATCCTTACTTTAATTCATTAAAATGGTACTTATTTTTATTATAACAAGTGTCATAATCCAGTGATTGGAGTTGATTTTCAAGATGGGTAGAATTAGGTATAAATGGGCCAATTCTAAATGTAAGAAGTATGAAAATTGGTAAAACCAATAATAGACTTATTATTTTTATAGCTTCTGAAACAGTCCTCCATTACTCAACATTACACACCAGAGGGCTCATAATTTCATAGGAATTGGAAATATGGAAAAGACAATCTTGAAGTTTTATGTACATAGTTTGTTTTTTAAACATTTGAGTTGCCACATATATGTATATATATATATATACACGCACATACAGTTATGTGTATAATATGTAACAGTCTCCCAAAATTTGTAAATAAAGCTATAGTTACCTATGTTATAGCTAGTGTTCTAAAGTTTTTCATTTCTCATAATTCCTAGACATTCTGAAACTATTTTAGATGCTTTTAAAAGGCCTCTGTTCAGCCTTAAAGCTGATTCTAACTTCCTTTCTGAAAAATGTATTATGGGAAATTAAGCTTGGAAAAATATTTTTCACTATTAGAACTTAATTTCCTTAAGAAAACAGATTTCTGGATGGAAGCCTCTTGGAAAATATTTATGTAACCCTTCAAATGAAGTTGTGCTGATTTAGGCTTAAAGGTTACAGTGCCTGCCTTCCTCCTACTCCAAGGAATTTGCTGTGAGAATTCTTATACTAACATATCTAATATATTTGAAGATCTTGGAAGAAATTTAATATTTTAAATAATTTGATTATTGTATATAACCAAATACTGTAATTCACAAATTTTTAAGAATACATTTGATGAATAATTCAGCATCACATCAGTCTTCTTGTAAGTACGTGTGATATATGTAAAGATGATGACTATAGTTTTTTAAGGTAAGGTTATTTTAAATTGCATTTTTGTTTTAGCTTTCAAAGTTATATTCTTTTAAAAATATTTCTCATATTCCATCATGTTACTTTGTGTTCCTGGAATGACTTTTGAAAAATACACAGAATCAAACATGAGTCCTTAAAGGAGTAAAAAGTTTGAGAATGATGGTGTCTCATCTCATGTCTACGGTAAGAAGCATGGCCTGCACCACTTTGGCACAACACTGCAAGATTGTCTTAAAAAGGCTCTCATGATAAAAGTAAAAATAGTGTACTATTTGTACTGGTGCAGATCCTACTTCTGACCACGTGATGTCTTTTAATAACATTCTTACCTCCTTCTACCATCTACATGTTAAATAGGGCTAAGTTAATATTTATCTTCACCTTCAACTCTGAGCAACTTGTAATTGTGACATGGTAAATCTTTATGAGACTTATTAAATGTGTTCACTGGTACTGAGGTCGCTTCTCCTTTAGTGCCTCTGCAGTGCACTTCCTCCTGAGGTGATAGTCAAGCATTCAGCAGTCCTCCCACCAGGTTTTAAAGATGTGGTTAAAACCTGGAAGAGCATCTGTTCGCGCTTTCAGTGGTCCTAATCTAGATGTCCGTTATAGTTTAGAATTTCATTCTGAGTCCAAACTCTTAGCAGATGCTTGCCACCAAGCAAACAAAATAGAAGCTATCCAGTACCCTTACATCAGAGCAGCCTGATCTTTACACCCTAAAGCTACCCTGCTTTACCCTTGGGCCTGACATTTGCACCTCAGCCTTGTTGTTTTACTCATAGTGTGAAGTTTAATAGGCACCTGTATCTTCATTTGAATAAACACTCACAGGTGTAATTAGTGGACAAAGTTCAGAAAATAGTTATTTCTCCTTGTAATTTCTTATGGTCACTGGCTCATAATACAGTGATGTGATAACTGACTTCTACACACAGGTCAGAAGTGACCATTCTTGTTCTTTCCTACTAGTCTTTATTATTGCAGCACAAACTGAATTAACACATCCTATAGTTAAGGTAAATGCCACTTAGAACTTGGATCATTTGTTGCTTATAAAACTAGTCTTTGAATATGAAATGAATATTTTTGCTACCACAAAACGTATGTGCCAGAGACTAAACCCAGGGCCCTCCACATGCTAAGCATACTGTTCCCACTGAGCAGTAGTCCCAGCCTCTTATTTCAAAAGTTGGAAGTAGTTGTCTTTATCGCACTTCAGCCAATGGCAGGCCAGTCCTAAAATTTGGCTTTCCTCATACTAGTCAAGGTGGTCCAACACATGGAGGAAACTGAATGAACTCATTTAAAGAAGGAAAAAACACAGCATTAAAAACTGTTTAGCTAAGGGGGGCAGAGGAACTTAGAGGTGGAGTACGTGTGTTTACCACGCACAAGGCTCTAAGCAATCCCAGGACCTGAGAAACAACAAAAAGCCCTCATCAGCTTTAAAGTATATTAAGCTAGTCATTACCAGTTAAGACATGTGGTTTTCATCTTTTTTTATTTATTAATTTTTGTGCGTATGACTGTTTGCCTGCATGTGTATGAGTGCACCACATGCGTACAAATGTGCAGAGGCCAGAAGAGGCCTTTGGATTCCCTGGAACTGGAGTTATGGACAATTGTTAGCCACAATATGGGTGCTGGAAACTGAACCCAGGTCCACTGGAAGAATAGGCAGTGCTCTTAACTGCTAAGCCATCTCTCCAGACACTGGTTTTCACCTTCAGTAGGGGAGCTGGGCAGTAGTAACACTGTTGGTAAATGCAGTCTAAGTGACAAATACCTTAGTGTTTTCAGCAAGAGCCAGGTTGGATGCCATAGCTCACCTGCATCTGAACTTGAAATGCAAGGTAAATGTTTGCTTTCACTATGTACCCTTTTGTAAAGAACTGCTGGCTAGCTCTTTCTTCCATGACACTTTTTTTTTCTTTTTTTGGTCTTTTTAGCCCCAGCTGTCCTGGAACTCGCTGTGTAGACCAGGCTGGCCCTGAACTCACAGAGATCCACCTGTCTCTGCCTCCTGAGTCCTGGGATTAAAGGCGTGCACCCGTGATGTCTTGGATTCTGTTGCAGAAGAATGAGCAATAGTGTCCAGCAACAAGTGAAATTCTTTGCATGTTATTTTGAGCTGTTACACCCCCATGAGGAATATTTAATTGGAATAACGTGCTATGAGAATATTTTATCCTTTTTTGTTTCCATTTCATTTTTACATACCTTTCCTTCGAATGCAGTGTATGTTCTTTTTAACTTCTTTGACATGATCATAACGTTTTTTTTTTTAATAGAGGACAAGGTGCTTATTAGCCATCCAAAAATCAAAGCTGAATGATGTGCTTAAGTGACTTTCTGATGAAAAGTACAAATTGAGTATTACTGCTTTCCAAGTATCTGTATTACTGTTTTCTGTAAAAGGAAACAGTACTGCTGTCTTTGTGTAAGTAAATTTTCCTTAGTGTAGTCTTGATTTTTCAGAAACTGTCCCTATAAGTCTTTCAACATAGTTCTGTATATCAAAACAAATGTTCAGTCTGTGAGGTTACATATTCCTGGTAAAATATTTTTTTGCATAGAAAGAAATAATTATTGTTGGAGAAATGTAGTGTTTCATTTATAGGTAGAACTAAGATTTCAAGATAAACTACAGGATATCAGATTAGCATTGATGATTTAAGTGTTTTGTTTTGTTTTTAACTCCTAATATCCTCCCTATCCTCAAATTTTTCACCTGTCTGGGTTCTTCAACAGAGAAACCTTGACCATTGTTTCATCCTTGCTGACCTAAGCAGTTCAGTGGCTTTCAGAGAAAAGACTTCAGAGTTGGGGGAGATGAAAATGAAGAATCAAGAAATAGACTCTGCTTAGACAGCATGGGTCATACAGCCACTTCCCAGCTGTCCAAGAAAGAGAAAAGCCATGTGTGCAGCGAGAAGACCTGCTGTGGTACCCATCTCACCCTGAGCTGCAGAGCATGGGCAAGGGACCCACCAAGAGATAGCAGTGTGGCTATGTGTGCATCAGGAAGCCTTTCCAGGAGGGGTCCTTAGCAGTTTTCCCACACTGATTTATAAGATCTATGCCACACACTTAGGAAAGTGCTAGTTTAGGTCTTTCTGATGTCTCAGAATAAAGTTTTATGCCCATTTTTTCAGTCAGGGTCTCACTAAATCCAAAGCTTTCTGATTGGCCGGACTGGCAGGCCAGTGAGCCCCAAGAATCTGTCTCTGCCTTCCAGTGCTGAGATTACAAGTGTACTTATCATGCCTGACTTTTTTAGGTGGGGCTAGTGATCCAAACTCAGATTCTCATGTTTATACAGCAAGCACTTTCCCACTGAGCCATCTCTCCAGTCCTCTTTATAATCACTTTAAGTTTTTCAATCCACAGGAGCCATGCTGGGTTTCTTAGGAACTTTCAACGTGCGTTTCCATGCATGTACATGTATATATTTTTCTACCTGTAGATTCATATTACACATTCTGATTAACTTGTTCTTTATATTAGTTTCAGAAAACTAGACAAGGTACATGGTGCCACCAACTTGGCACAACTACACACACTGGCATTTTCCTTTCTGATTTGTGTATGAGTTTATTATATTTGGATGGTTGCTGATGTGCACCTTTATATCCCCCCATATCATAGGCAGTTGCATAAGGCTGGGTCTCATTTTTAATAGAGATGATTGCTTTATTTCTTTTTTGTTACTCCTTTGTAATCTGAAGGGACTATGTGAGTGGTGGTGAAAAAGAAGACATGGTAAGATGCTTCTCAGCTGCTGCTGCTCATGCCCAGAGGCGTCCAATCCCAGATGGATGAGAACAGATGCTGTTGATGGAACCAGGAGCCCTGGAGAGGCTCTCCAAGCTGGTTGTAACAGGACATCAAACCAGAATAAATAGAAAACTATACGTACATAGTTCAGAATTTCTTTTGATAGAAAATGCAGCATGTGACAAATTCCCAGAATGCATTGGAACTGTTGTAGACAGAGTGTGTTCATCAGAGTATGACAAAGTCACATAAAATACACAGAGCTAAACCCACATGCTAGGGGACTGGAATTAGATGGTTTTTAATAAAATTTTGCTTCATATACTCAAATAGCATTTACAGTTCATTTTTCAGGGGTCAAGTAATGTACAGAATGTCCACAATGTCACCTCTTGTGTGAAGAGAAGTTGATTTCCTATGGCATTCACAAGTGAATTTTGGATTTTTCTATAATAAATGAGTAGAGAATATAAGTGGTAGATAGGTCCATTATAGAACAGGTCTAGGTGACTCCTTTAGCAACTCAGGTGCTGGAATCTACCTTGGATGTCGATGATCACTGTTTATCATCAGCACAGTAGGCCTCTGATGAAAATAAAAGGGTTTACAGTGCTTCGGAGTTCACTGAGCAACTTTTAACAGGCTTAGGATCCAAATTCCAAAGTATTTCCTCAATCTGAAAAGCACCCAGCATTGGCCAGTAGCCTTATTTCTAATGAATGGAGACATTACTCATGTTCTCTGCCTAGAGCGCAGAGCCCACTTAAGGTAATCTGAAGAATTAGCAGCAGGATGTGAGAGTCCTTCGGGATGGTGGCTCTCACAGATGACTGCAGTCTCTCCAGGGTGATGTTGGCGAAGGCAAACAAGCACTGAACAATCTCAAACCTCTCTGGGTCTCCCAGAGGAGACAAGATGGGGTCTTCAAGGTCAGATACTCCGTCATCTGACAGAGCATGGAGCTGAAATGAAAAACAAATTAACTGCAAAATATCAGAAAGTCCACATAGTTAGATACTATACTTTTAGATAGTTACAAAGGGAAACTGATTTATTAAATTACTCCCAATGGTCAGGGAAACCATTAAGACGTAACAAGATACTTATTCCATGCCAAGACTTCGGCCTTATTTTATCTGATTTGTCTGGCTGAACTCCAGTAGGTTAAAAGAATATGCCTTTCTTATAGGCCCAGATGGAGGGTTCATCTGGTCTTATGGATAAAATTTGTATACCTTTATAGGATACATTATGGTGATTCAATACATGTATATAATCTGTAATAAGTCAGGGTAATAAGCATTTTTATCTCCATACATTTGTATTGAAATTTTCACACTTTGTTTAAAAAAGATCCAGAAGTAATCTGTGTTTTGGTGCCCCTTACTGAACTTGATCCACTTTCCCACTGCTCCTCTGAGTCTAATTGTTAAGATTCTGTTCTGCTCTCCCAGGACATTGACTTGATTTCCACAGATGGGTGAGAATATGTGGTGTTTGCCCTTCTCTATCCAGCTTGTTTCATTTAACATACTGAACACTTAAGTTCCATCCACATTTCCCAATAGCAGTTTCATTTTTATGACTGACTAATAGTCACTATATATATGCCATGTCCTTTAGCTTTTCCTCTACTAAAGGACTAAAATATTTCATATTTTAGCTCTATGAATACTGCCACAATAAACGTGAGTACAAGCACATTTTTGGTATGGCAGTTTCATACCTTTGGGTATACCTGGTAGCATTCAGTAATTGCAGTAACTTTTGGATTTCCCAATAGCAGTTTCATTTTTATGACTGACTAATAGTCACTATATATGCCATGTCCTTTAGCTTTTCCTCTACTAAAGGACTAAAATATTTCATATTTTAGCTCTATGAATACTGCCACAATAAACGTGAGTACAAGCACATTTTTGGTATGGCAGTTTCATACCTTTGGGTATACCTGGTAGCATTCAGTAATTGCAGTAACTTTTGGTGTTTTAAGGAACCACCATACTGTTTTTTGTAATGGCTGTGTTAATTTACATTCTGAACAATAAATAAGAGTTCCTGTTTCTCCGTATCCTCACTTGCATTTGTTCTTTTTAGTCTTTTTGATGATCACCATTTTAATGAGGATGAAGTGATACCTCCTGCTTTTAATTTGCATTTCCATGATGATCCTGGAGACTGCGCATTTGTTCATGTAACTTGTTCACTGTTTGTGTGTCTTTTGAGAAGTGTCTGTTGAGGTTCTTCAGTCTACTTTGTAATTAGATTGCTTTTATGGTTACAGCCTTTCGAGGTCCTCATGTCTTAGATGAATCCTTGTTGGAAGAGTATTATGAAAATGCCTTCTCGTATGTGATATTTTGGTGTGTTATTGAATTGGTACTAACTTACTGAAAATGTTTGCATGTGAGTCTAATTTTCTTCTGGTGTATTCTGTGGTTGCAGCAGGAGATTAGGATATTACTGGCAACATAAAGTGTTTTGTAGAGTTCCTTCCATTTCAATTTCCAAATTTAAACAGCATTGAAATTAGCAGTTAAGTGTTTTTATGGAATTCACCAGTAAAGCCACCAGGTCCTAGGCTATCTTTAGATGGGAAATTTTAATTATTGCTTCTATCTCATTACTCATTATTGGTCTGCTTAGATTTTCTATTTCACATTGTTCATAAATATATCTGTTCTAGATTTTTCAGTTTTGTAGCCATATAGTTGATCTACTTGTATCTTGTAATCCTTTGTGTTTTTGTGATCATATGTGAAATATCATTTCATCTGTTTTATTTGAATCTTTACTTTTCCCCTCCATTGGCTGATCCCCCTAATTTTCTAATCGTTCGTCAGTTTTGTTGACTAACATTTTGATTGACATTTTTGTTTCCCTTTCAAAATAGCAGTTGTTTCCTTGATCTTTTGTGGGGTTATTGGTTATTGGGTTTTTGCTTTGTTTTGTTTTTCAGTTTGATTTTATGCTCTGAATTTTTCCTTCTGCGGATTTTGGGTTTGGCTTGTACTTGCTTTTCTAAGTCCTTGAGTTGCAGCAATAGGTGTTAAGACCTTTATATGTTCTGGTATATGCGGTTATTGCTGTAAGCTTCTCAGTATTGACTTTGCCATATATCATGGATTTTGTTATGTTTTCATTTTTGTTTCTAAAATTTCCATTCTAATTTCTTTAGTTACCTATTAGCACTTAGGAACATGTATTTTTGTAATTTCTGTTCTTCTTTTTCGTGTGTGTGTGTGTGCGTGTGTGTGTGTGGTCTGAAAAGATACATAAGATTTTAGTTTTTAAAATGGTATGGAACCTTATTTGTGGCCTAGCATATGCTCTATCCTGAGCATTCCAAGTGCTGTTGAGAAGAATGTGTTCTCTGCTTCTGTTGGATGAAATACCCCATAACTGCTCAACTCAGTTGCTCTAGAGCATGAGTCTACTCAGGTGTTCCTTTGATTTGTGTCTAGATGAACCGCCTGCAGTGTAAAGTGGTCTCTCAACTATAATTGTATTAGTCTCTCTCTGCTTTGTTTTCACACTTCGTCATATTTAAGTATTTGAATTGTAATATGGATGCATATATTTGCAATTCTGTATCTGGTTTCTGAATTGATCAGTCTTAAGAACGTATAGTGGCTGCATTTTATTCTGCAGTTTTTTTATTGAAAAATCTACTTTATCTAATATGAGTGTGGCTACTCCTGCTTGATTTTGGAGTCCATTGGGTACTCTATCTTTTTCTAGCCCTTCACATTTAGTCTATGTGTATTACTGCTAGTGAAGTGAGTCATATTTCTGTAAGCAGAATATAGGTGAGTCTGGTTGGTTGGCTGTCTGGCTGTCTGTGTTGATTTGTGAATTTAATTCATTTAAATTCAAGGTCATTGTTAGTTGTATTTTGCTTGTTTTGCATGATTTTTGTTCATTTCCACCTCTCACTTATTTTTGTGATTGGATTATTTCTTGTCATACTGAGGCTTAGTACTGTTCTTTCTCTTTTACCAGTTTTTCTAATGAGGTTTATATTTGTGTTCTTTGATAATGGCAGCTAATCTTTCTAGAGTTGCATTTATTCCCCTAAGTATTCATTATAGGGCTGATCTGCTTATCTGAGACCAATTTTATTGTCTCCCTCAGTTTTGAAAGATAGGTAGGGTACTGTGGTTGGCAGTTATTTCTTTCAATATTTAGAATATATCATGCCATTTTCCTAAGTCCACTGGGCATTCCTAGGGTGACTTTTCCTTTTTCTGTTTCTAGGATTCTTTTGTCTTGTACTTTCAATATTTTGACTGTTACATACCCTGGTGAAAGTCTTATTTTATGAGTTTTTTAAGCTTCTTGTGTGTAGATATCCATATCTCTTTAACGATTTGGGAATTTTTCAGCTGTTATTTCATAAGACTGATTTTTACATGCTTTCTCTTCTTATTCCTCAGCTGGAATTCCCATGATGCAAATGTTTATTCACTTAATGTTATCCCAAATGGCTTATAACTTTTCTTCACTCCCCCTAGCCCCAAATCTTACTGGATTAATTCAAAAGTTCCAAAATGTTTTTTCTTCTCCTCTAATCTTGTGGAAGCTTCATATGCTTTATTTCACTGATTATAGATTTTAGCTCCAGAATTTCTTTTTTAAAAATCCCTAGGTCTAAATTTCTTTTTCTCATTTCTTTGTGTTTGTGTATATTCTCACATTCTCTTAGATCTCATTAAGTTTCCTTGGGATCATTATTTTAAGCTCTTCAGACTTCACATTGAGATCTGTTTTTAGACAGCTGCTGTTCCTTTTGGAGCTAGCTTGTTTTCTGTTTACTTTCATTGATGTCTATGCATCTGGTATAACATCCAGTTTTTGGAAACACTTGTACGAATTTGGTTGGTTGGTTGGTTGGTTGGTTGGTTGGTTGGTTGGTTGGATAGATGTCATTTGGATAGGTGCTCTGGCTTTAGTTATACATGAGCTCCAAAATGTAGCCTCTATGTGATTTCTTTGGTTCATGTCAGCAGTGTCTAGGAGGACCTCAAATGCAGATGTTCATTAAGGTCACATTATGACTTTGCAGTGAGCATAGGCTTCCAAGAGTGTATATTCAGCCGCTACAGACTCAGTGATGTGAGATGTAGAGGACTATCCCTATGACCCTCAGGGTAAGCATGAATGACATGAAGAGTTGTGAGAGATACCTGGGTCTGGAGCACTAGCACCTACAGCTCTAGAGCCACAGGATGGGACCAGTCCTTGCCCAGACCCTGCCAGATAAACACGGGTGGTACTTTGGTTACCATGGGATTTGAGGTTTTGAAACACAAAGACCTTCCCGAATCCATGGGCATGGCTAAAGTTACTGGGGCTTTGAAGTACTGCTAGCCACTTTTGTGGAAGTGTGGGATCCAGACCTTCTCCAGGTCCCAAGGGATAAACACAAGCTTTACTCAGCTAGTGCTGAGCACTGAGCAGCTGTGACCCAAAATGAACCATGTAAGAAGACCTGCTCCCTGGGTTTTCCAGGGCACATATGCAAACAATGTTCAGGCTGATGGCTGGCATCCATGCTCCTGGAGGTGGAGGGCATGGGGCAGAACTTCCTCACACCCTGCTGACTCAGGGTGGGTGGGTGGCTTGCAGGCTTGGAGCTTTGGTATCTGAGGTCCTGTGGCTACCAAATACAAGTAGAAATAAACGTAGGTCATGCAGAGTAAGCAATGGTGAGGCTAAAGCTTGTAGCATTGTCATAAGGCTCAGAATCACAGATGTGATTCCAAATTCAACCTTGAGTGGTACTGAGGCCTTTTGCACCATAGGCAGGAGAATTTCCCTAGTTCCCGCTGTGGGTGGATACAGGTGTCATTGATGGTTGGGACCTTGACAGCTGTTTTCCTGGGGCTGCTTTTCTAGCTCCTGGTGGACAGATGGCAGGTTAAGCCAGGGCTTTGTGACAGTAGCCACAGTCCCAGGTGATGTGAGGTTTGGGAGAGAGGTGCACGCATCGTAGATCCACCATTTTTTTAGAGTTCCAGTCACTTTTCTGCTAATCCTGAGAGTTCTCCCTCCAAATACAGTTTCTCCTTCACTGCACTGGCACTCTGTGGCACTCAAACATATGCAAGGCAACTCTGGTCATCCAGCTCCTGTTGTCTTTTAAGTTAAATGCTGGTATTAGAGCCTTGTATATTTAAGGGGCTCCTTAAGTGTAATACTGTCATTTAATTATGCTTCCTGCTTCAGGAACCTCTTTCCTTGCTTTCCTTTTACCTAGAATATTTTCCAGATTTCTTTGTTGATCCTAACTTATCTCCTTACTCATGGCAAATGTGTTCGTATACTTAGTACTGCCCACCCCCCAAACCTTCCAAGAAGCCTCTTTCAGTTACTTGGCTCTCACCTGGGGATGCAGGTAGATTTTATGCCTTCTAAGTAAATCACTTTAAGAAGCACATAATACTCAGATTCCTGCAGGAGACTGGCTGCCTTAAAAAAGAACTACAGGAACTCTGAAGAGATTACTTGAGGGCACCTAGGAAGATCTTTTTAAAACACATGACTTGTCTATGTTAAGCAGCCTCCAAAAGACAGGTGAAGGCCATTACAGCCAGGCAGTACAGTGGAAAAGCAGAATTCTGTCCATTCTGGAACTCCCAAGTTTGCCATGTCTACTCATGAAACACCAGCGGAGGTCAGAACCAAGAGCTGACGGCAAGGAAGATGCTGAGTGAGGTTATTAGGGGATGAGCTGGCTCCCTTGGCAGGAGTTTGTACTCCATGTACTTCCTGAATGCAGCTAATGAGTCTCTAAATGCTAGGAAGCAGACTTGGTAAGTGCTGAGCATTCAGTTGCTGCAAGAGGGAGCAGAGCTCTGAAAAGCTGCTTTGGTCATCATTGCATACAGTTAGGACATTTACATAGAGTCTATAATCAAACTACGGCAGCAGCCATCACCTTCAGCTGGTCCAGGACACACTGGCACATTTTCAAGTAATTGAGTATCCCCTGGGCATGGACTCTTCATTCTGAATAGTGTCTGGTCAGCTGTCTGGAGAAGTGCTGTGCTGACTCGGTTTCTAATGTCGCTTCATGAAGAATGGCATCCAAGCCACCAACTGTGTGATTCAATCAGTGTTCCCAGAGGACATGTATAGCACAGGTCCTCTCCAGGCAATATATGTGGTATCAGCTTCCCCAGTCAGAGCTAAGCTTTGAGCTGTGATCCTTTTGAACAACAGCAGGCCTTAAACCTACACCAGACTTTAAAAATAAGTAACCAGGATGTCTTGCATCTCTGCCTTAGCAACACCTGTAGAAGCTGCCTTGGGTGGTTTTGGACAGCCTGTTGTTGGTTCCCCCTATTAATGGTCAAGTCTGTAACTTGACAGCTTAACCTGACTTGGGCTACCCTTATTACCTACCACTTGCTCTTACAAGGGCTGGAGCACAAAGCTAGTGATATTTCTAAAAGACGATGGAAGAAGCTATGTCTCCCCAAGACGAAGCAGGCCTGAGTGCTTCTTGGCAAGTATGACACAACGTAGATTCAAACCAGTCTATACAGAACTGCCATGGCCAGCAACATGGTGTTTAGATCTCACAGCACCAAGCCATGGCCAAGATACTTCAAACATGAGCAAAGCCTGCGATTTGGAAACTACAGACCAGGCTGCTGGCTCTGCTGGCCAGTGTTTAGAACAAACCTTTTGCTCTGGGCCTCAGTCCTTCCACAGCACACTCGTGCTAATGACAACACTTGCTTAGACTCTCTTGGGTTATAGATAATAAACTAGAGGTGTTTTACCAGCTGGTTGGCATCTATCCGTCATCCCCTCCATCCCTACCACCCCAGCATCCCATCTGGAAATTTCCTTACCAAGTGGCACAGCATAGGAATAATGTGGAGTTTACAACAGGTACCCAGGAGAGCTGTGGCATTATCTGGCATTTCTGTAGAAAACATGTCACAATCACTGTCAAAATAAGTTCATGGAAACCTGTAATCTCAGCATTTGAGAGGCTGAGGCAGAAGAATCACAAGTGTGAAGCTGGCCTGAGCTATATAGTGAGACTTTCAATAAGAAAAAAGACATTTAACCCTAGATGGTGCCCAGTTTATATTTCACTACCTCTTGCCACTGCTGGTCAGGAAGTAAATGTGTGATCACATTTGAAAGCAATGTTGGGGGTTCTGTGGCAGGATCACCCCAGCAATCCAGTCACCAGAGGATATTCCTTGACATTGAATTTGCCGGTCAGGAAGGACATGGGCTCAGAAAAGTAAATGAGCACAGAAAAGCTGTAACAGCACTGAACTTCCTCCAGATAACCAAGCTGTAGCTTTTGTTTTTTTATATTCTGAGACGTTCTCGCCATTATAGCTCAGGCTGCCTTGAACTTGCAGTGATCTTCCTACCTCTAGAGTTATAGTCATCAGGGCTCCACCCAGCTGTAGCTGTGGATATGCTTCTGTGACTTGTCTCCATTTGACTCACCATAGGTATTTGGGGGCATCTGTCAGAGCACTGCACACACAAAGGGCTCCACCCATGGTACCAGTCACTTTGGAAAGGAAAGCACAGGACTAATCAGAGGCACGCAGCTGGAGCAGTGCCACCAGTGGCAGGAGTCAATGCAGAGTTGTGTGTGTCGGGTCCTGCCAACCCCATGAGGAAAGGAAAGCCAAGTCTGTGCTATTCAAGACAATATTAAATACCTACGAGACTAAAATGGATATGCTCCTAAAATGACCCTAAATCCTCAGGACACAACCTTTGAACTAAGTTACCTGGATAGGACTGCTCGTGACTTCACTGTCACCTGCATCTTCTCCCTCTATTAAGGACAGTGTCACTGAGGCTATAAGCCAGAAAGGCCAACAGAACACAGTGGTCTCCAAGAGGAAAGGCTGCTGGGAGAAGGGGCCACCCTGGAAATGATCCTGCCAGAGGACCTGAGCACAACGTCTGAACGGGTCATGCACCTGCCAACCTCTGAGAAGTCTGTGGGTTCCCAAAGAGGCAGGCCCTCACCCCACTCCAAGATGAGGATGGAAAGAGCACAGAGCCTAGAAGGGCATGTGGCATCGGCCAAGCGCTGCCAGGCCTATGCTTCTGCCCCTTCACCTTCCAGGGGCTCCTGCATCCCTCTCATTCCTGGAGAAGCTTGGCTCCATTTGCTCATCTAGCACTGTGAGCACAGCACACAGCCCCTTCCGTGGCAGCTCACACTGCTACCTGATGCCTGTTCTGGGCCAGACGTGCTTGCCCTCCCCTGACTGGGCCTGAAACACAGTAGAAGACTGTCCAGGGCCTGAAGCAGAATTGTCTGTTTACAAACAAGGTATTCAGAGCTGGGACTTGTTCACAGTCACACATAGGCAGAGCAAGTTTTTCTAGGAGACGGGAGGACTGCGATGCTGACAGCAGCCAAGCACAATGAAGTCAGGGCCCAAGAGGAGGCCCCTGTTCCAGTGCTTTCCCTAGATCTTAGGAGGGAAGGCCATACTATCTAGGAGGAGGTGGCCAACACAAGGGCTCCCTTAGAACATTAAGGAAAGCTTTAAACCAGCCAGCCTACTGGGGCTGCCATAATGAGATCACAGCTCAGACAGAGCAGGCTTGGTGTAGGTGCTGGCTGCAAAGACTGGGCAATATGGAGGCTTTCCCAGCCTCTGCACCCCCAGCTCGGAAACAGTAAGTTCCATCTTGTTCACCCTGTGTGCCACCTGTGTACTCAGCTACAGAGAAGCTGAAGTTGTGTTGACATCAGAGGGAACAGAATATGGTACAGTCACAAGGTCAGCCCTGGGCTGCTGTGGGTAAAGTATTTCAAGAAGTAATAGGGTATGTGAGGAAAAGGCCACTCAGCAAGCTGAAGGAGTCTGGGCTGTGGATGAGCCCCTGACAGAAAGCCCAAACTCAAGCATTTCCACTGATGTTAACATGGGATGAGCCTCTAGCTTGCATCTGGTCCCAGTCAACCAGTCCAAGCCTTTGTCTGATTCAGAGCAGGCCACAGGGCATGTATCCATCAGCATATCAGGTGAGCACATTCTCTGATTCATTTTTCAACACTGCCTCTGCCTCTGTAGTGCTGGGAGGAAGCCCGAATGCATTAGGAACTCTGTGACTCACTTGTATACCTCGGAGGGAAGCTGGACCTAGGCGGCTCAGTTGGTTAGCCACAGCTTCCTCATGAACTATATTTTGGAGATAACTTCCAGTGACGAGAGATCATAGGGAGGTCCACCTTGAGCCTCTAAGAGTAGAGGAGGCTCAAGGTGGCCAGAAAGGCCTGCTTTATGTCCAAGACCATCCAATTTCCACCTCTTACTCTCTCTTGACTGGAAAGGAGAGACCTGTACCAAACCTTCCACAATCATCATTCCTTTGTACATAGTTTCCAAATGACGGTGGCCACTTCCCTATTCTCTTCATCTTGGCTCCATACCTGCCAGTGCACTGACCAGGAAGTAGGCTGCTGTAAAGAGCTTCTGGTTGCTGACCCCATCCTGAGGACCGGGACGCTCACTCAGTACCCTGCATCCTACTAGCTGCAGAAAGGTCGTGAGGTCTTGCTGCTGACTGACTGTCAGCTCCTCCAATGCCCGTGCAGCCTGTGGGGACCAGAGACCACTGGCCACATCATCACACTGCAGGACAGGAAAAGAAAAGAAAGAGGAGAATGGTGAAGCCAGAAGCCAAGCAGGCAGAACTCAAGAGAGCCTCTGCCCTACCCCCATCCTCCTAGGATGCTCCATGTGCTTCATCAACACTGAGCCCTTCTCTGTATTTTGAAGATACCCACAAGTTTCAGCTTCCTCTTAAGGACACAATAAGGTGAACCTTGCCCAAGTACTATCCTTCCACAAAGAGGAAGGAGGCACACAGAAAATGTTGGGCAGAACCTTCCAGACCAAGTCAGTGCCTTGGGTTTTTTTTACTAGACACCAGGAATAAGTAATGACATATCAAACTGATAAGGGACATAAAAGCACTATCCTTTTCTGGTTCTCACACTAAAGAGAGCACATCCACAGCCAGTCCTGGCCAGCTTCATTCATCCCCGCCTGTAAGCCAGTACACCCCCTGGGCCCTGGGCCAGCTGCACTCCATCTGCACCCCTGTGCCCATCCATTACCCACCACCAGGCAGATGCTCCACCAGTCTGTGCTCTCTCCACAGGACCAGCTTGACATTTTCCTCTAGAAAGGAGCCATTTTAGGAAGTGAAAGTCGCTGGCTTTTGAAACATTTGTGTTTTCCCTGAGTTAAGCCAAAAGGCAAAGTTGGACTCTTTGGGCAACCATAGTTCTATCACAGGTAACTAAGCTCTTTTAGCACAAGTTTGCTTCAAGAGGGAAAAATATGCAAAAAGGCAGAAAAACAAAACTACAATGAAGAACATATTTCCAAACTTCAGCCTCATTAAGTACCAAAATCTGGGCTGACCAAGAGTGGGCAGCTGGCGTGTCCCTCAAAATTCTTTTGCTGCAAAACAGAAAGGAATAAGCTTATGTGTGTTCTGAATAGGAAAGATTGATGAGCTCTGTCACATAGCAGTAGTGGCCCAAAGCCCCTGTCTACCTGCAGTCTCAGAACAATGCCTTATGTAGAATGTGTCTCTGCAGGTATAATTAAGGTAAGGGTCTCAAGATAAAGATGACCCCATAGCCAATGGTGAAGATCCTTAAAGAGTAAAGGAGAAACCAGCACACAGAGGAAGGCAGGGTAGAGATGGGAGAGATGCCGCCATAAGCCAAGGAATGCCAGAAGCTACCAGAAAATGCAGGCAACAAGGATTCTCTCCTAGATCTTCCAAAGGGAATGTGGCCCTGCTGATGCAATTCTAACTTCTGCCCTCCAGGTCTGTAAGAGAATACATTTCTGATATTTTTAAGTGCCAAGTTTCTGGTGATTTGTTGCAGCTTTAAGAAATTCACCCATGCCTCGCCGCCTGATGTCAGCTCCCTTTTTCCGGTTAGAAAAGGAAAGATCTATAACTAAGAAAACAGACAAGTTTTGGAATTAAAAGGAGATGGGAAAACTTAACACAACCCCATGTTATCCCAAAGCCTGTTCTGAGAGGTCTAACCTCTGCACATTTTCAAACCAAACAAGGAGCAAACCCTGCCTGGAGATGGCCCTGCCTCACCACTTGCTCCAGGGCCATGAGTAGCTCCTCGTCGAACAGGATTGCCTGCTGGAGGCGGCACAGTGCTGTTAGCTGCTGCTCCGGCAGCTCCGCAAAGGGCTGGAAGCGCCTCTCCAGGTGCAGGGTGGCTGTGAAGACAGAGCAGAAGTTCACAACCTGCCTCTTACAAGGGTTACCAGTTCCTTCGCAGCAACTCCAGATGCAGGGTCAGTCAGGAACTTGGACGTGGGTACCACACTGTGTGTTTTCAACACCCTGGAAAACTACAATGGGGAAGGAAGGAGGAAAAGGAGAGAGGCCTGACATCTCAGGCCTGGCTTTTCTCTGATGATGGTAATAATAATAATAATTATTAATAATAATAATAATAATTAAGTCTAACCAATTAGTTCCTGGAAAAGCTGTTTAGGCTTCTCTTTGGCATGATTTCTATAGAAGTATGTTCTCAAGGCCAAATCACTAAACATAAGCCATATAGATCTCAAAAATACACTCTTTCCTGCCTCTTTTTGAAATATATTGCAGATTTGGCACCATCTCATATTTGGTGCATTTTCATAGCAAACGGCTCTACCAAGTCCCTCTCACATGTGTTCAAGATGACCGAGCATGGTGTCTACTCAGCTGTGCTGCACACATTCCCTACAGGAGACCAGGGGACCTCTCCCTTCAATCCTCTTTCTCCTAAAGGCTTCTAGCAAATTATGCTGGTGGAGATTTGGAAAAAAAAAAAAAATCATCGAGAGCTTTCCTACAGAGGGCTGCATATTGATGCAGAAAACCTTGTCCTCTGCTGATGGCCAATTCTAGAAAACAATTGCCAGAAGCCTCACAGATCAGATGCATAACTCTCGACTCACTTCAGAAACTCCTCTGGAACACACCTAGCTCTACACCAGTCCCTGCCTCCAAAGAACCATTCTGGTTAGCCTAGAATCTGGGTGCTCAAAAACCAGGCCAGCCCCCACCCTACTGCTGACCCTTCCTGCCTCCATCAGGCAACCCAGCAAAGGATAGCTGGCTCACAGCTCCGAACAGCGGGAAGAAGCAGCGGCCTCCACGTCCCTGCAGTGCAGTCCCAGGTATGACCAAAATCCATAAAATAGAAGCCAAAAGTCCAATCAGCTCTTGTCTCAAGGGAAAGATCTACTTTAACCCTGGGTCTCCATCACCTTGTCCCCCAACACTGACATTCTGTGACAGAAATAATATCCTGTGGCCTGTGACTCACCTAAGCCCCACGGAGGAATCTATTTCCTTTGCAAGGCTAAGTATCCTCTGAACCATTGCTGACTCTTTTTCCTAAGCTCTTACCTCATCATTTGTTTCTCCTTTCCTGCCATGAGGAGCAGAAAGAACTGTCGTGGGCAGTTCAGGGATATGGTCCCTCTGCCCTCTGTGGCACCAGCAGGCTCTAGCCACATGGGTAAGGAGCCTCTGAGAGGGCATTTCCAATGCTGACAAAGCACTGCTTGTGGTACACTGAAGCCCAGAAAGTAATGAAACTGATGTAGAAATTGGGTTCTCTATCTCTGCTCATCACTGGCCAGTCTTCACAGTCAAAAGCATTCTGTGGTCGCAGTGAAAGACAACTGCCAGGTGCCTGACCACTCCACTCCTCAGCCTCCCACCTCAACCTACCTAGGGGCTCTCTTTCCCTCTCTTCAAATAACAGCACCTAAGACCTGGCCGTCCTTAATATCCAAGGGGACCTTGAAGGCCACATCACCTCCTGGGGGACAGAGCCCACTTCTCTACCCATTAGCTATACCCACACTGCCAGTAATACCTTGTTTTAAAACATGTAGTGGTCCATCCTGGGACGACATCTCATGTTCCCCATCAGGCATGTCCAGAAATACAAACTCTCGGTTGGCCATGGGGTTCAGGTAGACAGAGTCCTCTCTCTTCTCATGCTCAAAGCCCCCGTGTTTCCCTTGGAGGAGGCAGAATTCTGTAGTGGAGAGAAAAGGCCATACCAGGCATGGGTCAGCATAGCCCAGGCACATCTCAGACTGGCCTTTACCTAACTCAGGCTTGAGTGGAAGGCACACGGAAAGGTTTCTGTTTCCTTGTTTTGCACCTCTTTATTTTCTGAGGCAGAGTCTCACTCTGCAGCTCAGGTTGGCCTCAAACCTCAGCTCCTTTCTGCCTAGGTTGCCCATTGCTGGGATTACATGCGTGCACAACCATACCCGGTCACCTGAGCATTTCATGCCAGGTCTGCTGAAGAGTAGAGTGTGTGCTGGATGGCTTTAGTGTCAACTTGACACACCTTGTCAATGGAGGGAGCCTCTATTGGTGAATTGCCTCCATTGGACCGGCCTGTGGCTATGTCTGTGGGGCATCTTCTTGATTATTGAGTGATATGGGAGGGCCAGCCCACTGTGGGTGGTGCCACCCCTGGAAAAGTGAGAAAGCAGGTTGAGCAGGGACCAGTGGAGCAAGCCAGTAAGCAGGGTTCCTCCATGGCCTGTGCTTCAGCTCCTGCCTCCACGTTCCTGCCCTTAGTTCCTACCTTGGACTCCCTCAGTGATGAACTGTGACCCAGGAGATGTAAGCCAAATAAACACTTTCCTCTCCAAGTTGGTATTGGTCAGAATGTTTTGTCACAGCAATGGAGAGACAAATTAGAACAGAGTGCTGACGAAATAGCCCTGTATCACAGCAAGCTTAGCAGGGCCTGTGGGCTCGGCTTCCTGTCTGTGTCCCTGATCCTCAGAGATGAGGCACCTTTCCTTGAGGGTCTGCTACCTGCCTCAGAGGAGGGTCAGAAAATCCCCTCTAGGGTTCTGTCCCCCATCATTTCCTCAAATTCCATCACTGTAAAATATTTTGGGGTCTCATATACTAATGGTAAAAGAGAACCGGAGAAGGGTTCTTGGATGAAGCAAGGCCCAAAGCCACCAAACTGTTCAGCAGAAGTTCTCTGGGCCAAGACACACCCCAGATAGGAGGAGCAGCCAGCACTGGGGCACAGGGCTGGAGTATGATGGGAGTGTTTCCAGATAGTGGGGGAACTTTTTGAAGATAGTAGACTAGTGGTATGGTAACAAAAGAGCAGGCTGGGGACACATGCTGGGCTGAGCTCATTCAGGGGACAGAGGCAGCTACAGAGGACATTTGAGCAGGTGAGTGAAATGATTAAATTGTGACTTAAAACCCTCACTGGTAGCTTCACTGCTGGGATGGAAGAGAAGGCCCCTAAGCGTGGTGGGTGGGAAGCAGGGAGGTGCAGCAGTCATACCAGGAGCCCTAGAGAGAGGCCTGGGACTTAGGGCAGGTGGGAACAGCTATACCACCAGGGGCAGTGAATCTGAGTTCCCATTGAAAGGACAAGCAAATACCCACTGTGCATAAGTGCAAAGTCTGAGTTCCAATGATAAAGGATGCTTCTGATTGGGAAACCATTATAGAAGCCAGAGTCTCACAACTGCTGAGGACACAGAGGGTTGGGTCAGCTTCTCAAAGATCACTGGACACCAGGGTAACCCTGTCAGTGGAAACAGGGGCAGATACCTCCTAAGGGGCCTTCTGGCTCCTCCAGGTTTGTTTATGAGGCTGAATTAGAACACTCTGTGGAGAGTGACAGAAACCACAGATGTGCAAGAAAGGGGGTTAAAGCAATGCTGGTCTGTGGTTGTGGGCCCTTTGCACAGTGTGCAAAGGTGGGAGCTCAGCAAAGGGAAAGGGCCAGGGCAAGGGAAATGAGCCCAACATAGGGTCCACAGGGTACCTCTTCCAGTTCTTCTCAGCAGGGAAGAGGGGAAAAAGCCAGCAAGCATAAAAAGGTTTGAAATAAAAATGTGAAGGGAGCCACACCATAGGCTCCACACCCCTCCCCCTCCCCACCAAGGAAAAAGAAGCCCCAGGAATGACAGGCCAGCCCAGTGAGCTGCAGGCAGACTGGCAGGTAGGAGCTGCTTGCCTGGCTTCCCACCACCAAGGATCATGGAATGCTACTCACTTGTAAAAAAGAAAACCTGTCTTTTGCAACATGCATGAATCTAGAGAACATTAAGCCCCAGACACCAAAAGACAAACACTGTATGCTCACATTTATATGTAAAATCCAGACTAGTGAAACTCACTGATGCAGAGACTAAAACTGATTATCAGGGCCTGAGAGGTAGAAGAAATGGGGAGACACTGGCTGAAAGGCCCAAAGTTTCAGTTACAAGTAAGTTTGGAGGAATCTAATATAAGGAATGGTGACAGTAGTTGATACTGTTTCCAGGAAAACAAATGTGTATGTTAAAATGAATGTTAGGGTTCAAACAGTGCAATTGGGAGCACTCGGGATGAGAAATAAAAGAACCCCACCTGAATAAGAGACACAAGCTGACCAGATCAGAGAAGGACGGGGCTCTGGGAAAAACAACAGAGCTGGTCTTGGCAGGCTCCGGCTGACTGACCCCCAAGGGACACACACAAGCCACGGTTGCCTTTTCACATAGTCTTGTGTCTGATTGCCACAGACTAAACTGAGAGCAGGACAGACTGTGGAGAGCCTTCACCTATTTCAGGAAGGGGCCACCTGGGCTGTCCATGGACAAGGAATTAGAGGTAACTGAGGAACACAGCAGCTGGACCTTGGTAGCAGTGTTTCCTCAAAGTCAGAATGATCTTTGGCCGTTGGACATTCCTTGAAGCTGAAGTCAGATTGTTCCTACTATATCAGAAACTAAAGCATTCACCCTCACAAGTGTACTGACAAAGTTCTGCATCATCAAAACACCTGATGTCACTTGCAGCATCATGGATTTGACACCCCCTTCCTGTTTGGGGGAATTGTGGGAAGAAATGCCTTCAGTGAAAGATCTATTCCACCATGATTTGGGATAGAAAAGGATTGGGGGGGGGTGTCACCTTACCTCATGCATATTCAACCCACTTCATAAATACTCAGAAAACTTCTCATGCTCACAACACAGAGCCCACTAGCCCCCTCAGCCCTGAGGTAGCCCACTCCCATCTTGCTTAGCTCTTGACTTAATTCATTCCTGCAGGAAAACAAGAACTGAGAGATCCCTGCAACATCAACAACAAGACTGTTGTTACCTCACTTGGAATCAACCTAAATGCCCAGCAAGAGATGAATGGATGAAGAAAACATGACACAGTTACATAAAGAAAAATTCCTCAGCCATTGGAAAGATGAAATCCTAGTATTTAGGACAACATGGATGAACCTGAAAGATACTATCTATGCTGAATAAAATAAGCCAGACATAGAAAGCCAGTCACATGGTCATGTGAAATCCAAAAGTGAAGCAAGAACAGCAGAAACACAAATCAATTTAATAAAAAAATCTTAAAAGTCTCAACTAAAAATATTATATTATTTATTCGAAATTTTCTAAGATTATGGGTCCCAAATGTAAACCCCCCACACACATACATGCACACACAAATGCTAACTATGTGAAGTGTTGGTTGGATTAGTCGACATGGTTATGGTAATCACAATGTATGTGATAAAAATCACATTGTTCTCCTGGAATATTGACACTGCTTGACAGCTGCACTCAGTAAAGCAGGGAAACATGATACAGCACCTTTTCTGCCCCCAGTCTACCTGAAAGGATCCTCAAGGCATTTGCACTGGGCTGGACCAAACAGGCACAGCAACAGCACTGCCTACCACACATAGGTACTGGGGACAGCCATCACCTTTGCTGTGCAGTTTGTTGGGAGACAGAGAGTTACCATCAGCTAGCCTCAGTCATTCAAAAAGAAATAGGCAGTGCATGTAGCTCAGACCTGTGATTCTAGTACTTGGAGGTAGGGACAGAGCGATCAGGAGTTCAGAGACATAGTCAGTTCAAAGCCAGCCTGGGTTACATGACAATGAAATTATAATAATTATAATAATGCTGCTTCCTGAAACTCTGCAAGTTGAGAACTAGGTCCCTGAGGGATGTAGGTCACCATCCCAGTGTGCCGGATATTCCAGGCATCCCTCACCAGTTCTTGACCAGTTTCTTAAAACCAACACATTCTCTTTATGTCACCCCAGGCAAATCATCTCAACTCCCCAAAGTGCAGGCTCCTCATCTGCAAGATGATCCTGGGGGTAAGGGAGGCTCAGCAATTTTGTTTGATGCTCATACAGATCCTCAAATGCCCATGGACTTGCTGACAGTCTCACTAGGACACTCAGTACGTGATCTCTTTCCTACCTTTGCAGCAGATGGCATGTCTGGTGGGTTTGCCTCACAGAATGCTCACTCCTTACCATGTGCATGGCACTCCATTATCTATGGCAAAGATCAAACTGAACAAGAGCACACAGAATTACAACTACCTGCACCTGCTCATCAGCCAGCCTCAGGACTGTCACACCAGGCCTGTGTCTTTATGCCCACCCCAACCCCATGCATTCTGTCATACTCTTTTGGAAGCAAACCATAGACATACCACATTCACCTGTGAAATTTCAGTAGTAACTTCCAGCAGACAACTTTATAAACCAAACCATATATCATCATCCTACTCAGAAAGGTTAATAACAACAGTTTGTGGTGTTAAATTTACTCATTTTTGCTCCCAAGAAGTGGCCAGGCAGTATTTTGGGGCTCAGTGCGACCTGACCTCTTCTCTTTTGGAAGGGGCCTTGAGCATATAAGATGAGCAGTAGGAAAGGACAGACTTATTGTCTCCTAACAATCACAATAACTTGCTTGTGACTCATAGAGTGAGGTCAGGCTGCAGTCGGGCCTTATGCTGGGGAGGGAGGATGGAACCACAATGAGGATAAAACTGACAGCTAAGTTGGCTGGTCATCAGTGACCACTGTGCTCTGCACTTCTTGGGCCTCAATCAGTCAGTCTTCACTGAGGCCCTATCAGGGACCCTCTTTCCCCTTCCAAGCTCAGCAAAACTCAGCAGCTTCAAAGGAGGTCTGTCTGGTTGTAGAGCCCACATTCTTCCATAGCCACAGTGACCCTGGGGAGTACAAGTCGTTGCTCCTGACTTCCCTCACCCAACTCTTCAGTACCACCCACTGCCCAGGGTCCAGGTCATATGATGCTCTGACACGCCTCTGCTATCTCCCCCTCTCTTCTCTACAAGGGCATGCTTCACGGGCAGCCTCAGGAGTAGGACTCACCGAACTGGCCACCCTGTTTCACATACAGCTCAATGATACCGCAGGCGATGGTGGTGGCAGCTGGGATCTCCAGCACTAAGTTGGTGTCCTTGATGACAGACCCATCCTCCATTGCTGACACCTGTGGGCAAGAGCACACACCCATGTGCACTCCCTCTCTGGCTTTTTCCTGCCACCCCTGTGTCCAACCTCCTAAGCCTGATGGGAAAGGGTCCACAGAGCTGAGGAGGCAGGAGGAGCCAGTGGGCTCTGGTGTCTGGTGGCAAGAGTAAGATGTCAGGGCATGGGATTAGAAGTCATACCACAGAACTGTTTCAGCAACAATGTAGCATGGCAGTGGTCTCATGGTGTTCTGATTAGTAGAACCAAAAATTTCTTATCCCCTAGTGACATCATAGGTGCTATAACACGGTAACACAATGGTGTGTTGCTGGTAAACTGCTCCCCTGCGCTATCTTGAAAGAATAGAGCCTACAGTCACAGTCAGCACAGAACACCTAATAATACTAAATGACTATGCTGTTGCTTGTGTGTTTACTAGACAACATTTTTATCATGATTTTAGAGTATATTTGTAACTTGGAAAAGAAGAGAGGGAGGGAGGAAAAAAGGAGATAAGAAGGAAGGGAGGAAGGAAGAGAGGCCAGGAGGAAGAGAGGAAAGAATGAAAAACTCTGTAGATGTTTGGCACAAGGATTTTTGTTGTTTTTACATCCATGGTTGGTTAAATTTGAATGCAGGTTGTGTTTAGCTGGGAACAGCCTCATGTGTCTCAGGTTGATGGCATCCATCAGTTGCTTCATGAGGTTCTGAGGAATGACTGGCTTTGGTGATCTAGGCCCGTGTAAATCCCTCTGTGATGTTTTCTCAGCAACAAAATTACCTAGTGATGCATAACTTAGAACATAGGATGGATAACTCAGGACATAGTTTAATGATGCGTGACTGCAAATAAGATCAATTCCTAATTGTCTTCATTGATGTTAAAGAAACAACTTTGAAATCCTAATAAAAATTCCAAACAAGATCAAAGCTGGGCTGGGAGATCCTCTCTGAACTGCCCTTCAGACTCCTGTGGCTAGTGCTCTGTGCAGCAGACAAAACCAGGAAGAGAGGGTAGGGGGAGAGGCTAGGGGCGGGCTGCATGGAGGAGAGGAAGATAGGTGGGAAAGGCTGAGGTGTCAGGCAGGAAAGAGCCCTTCCCACATACCCTGGGGATAGGAAATTGGGATCTATTTATTAGGCAAACATTGGAGACAACATACTTTAGCAATTTGCTCCTGGTCAAAATCTTTGAGTGAAGAAGCAGCAGCTGGTTTCTAATTGCCAGGGGCCAGGACTGTCATGGGTGGTGGCTATAGTCAAAAGTGTCCACAGAGCCAACTAAAGCCACCTCCCATCAAGTACCCCTCTCCCCACTGCTAGCTCACTCTCTTGCTTACCCTCAGCAGCTCCAGCTCCATACCTACATCCATATCTCTTTCCAAATACAACCTTCTTAGGTCCTCTAGAAAAAGCCAGTGTTACCAAGAAGGAAACCACTAAGAAGATTTTAGGCCCTGTGGCTAGCTGGAGGCAAAGCAGTTTAAGACTGATGGCTTCCTACTCCACTGATGTTTAGAATCTGCTCCAGGGTTAGCTTGGCAGGGCTGGGTATAATTTAATCTGGAAGAGACTGTTTGTAGAAGATGATAGATAGATGATGATAGATAGATAGACAGACAGACAGACAGACAGACAGACAGACAGACAGACAGACAGATAGATAGATAGATAGATAGATAGATAGATAGATAGATGATAGAGATATATAAATGATAGATAGATAATCAGTTGATAGATGATAGATACATAGATCTTTACCTGCCCTAACTTAGTCATCAAAGGATTTGGGATGGCTGACTCCAAAGCAATCACTTGAAAAGCTTTGGGTCCAAGATGCTCTAAGGATTTTCTTTTGCTGGCCTGGCTGGTGCTCAACTGGACAATATCCCTTTGAAGAAGCATCCTTTTCCCATAGGGGACAGTTCCTGGCCCAGGCCCAGCCGGCCACAAGAGTTCTATTGTCATGGCTTGAAAAATGGACATGGCCCAAGTGATCTGGTGAGACCCAGCCCTGAAGCATCTTCTCCTGCCTTGCGGAAAATCTGAAGAAATACTGGAGACACCAACACCTTGAGCAGAAAGCCTGACCGAGGAGAAGCTACTTTCTGGGATGGAGGGGGCTCAAAACATCCTCAATATCCCACAGAGACGAGGCCACATACATTAAAGTTTTTAGTTACTCCAGCCAGTGAGGTCTTGTTTATTAGAACCAGCTTGAGCTCTATTTCTAACTCTCTCTTTTAAGTCACCACAGGAGGGCCCCTGGCAAAAGGTCTCCAGGTTGGGGTTGGACAGGCTGAGTCCTGAGCTCACCCTCCTGGGTGTCGCACCTGCACAGTCTTGGTCTGGATCCCCACCATGCCTCCACACTTCTCCTCAATCTGCACATGCTCAGAGATCACACACTTGCTCGTGGTCACGATCTTCTGTATCAGCACACACAGGACCTCGTTCTTCCTCTCCAGCACCTGCTGCAGCACTGGGTTATTCAGATTAATTGTTCTGAAAAAGAAAAACAGTCATGAGTGACCTAGTGCCTTGGGAGAGACTGAGGCAGGGAACATTCTGTCATCTTGTTTGGCTGAAAGCTGAGGAGGGAATCACCAGGGTTTCCTGGTGATTAAAGAGGGGGCAATGAACTGGCTCAGCAAACTTCCCTAAGTTACTCCATTTTGTTCAGAGCCATTTCAGCAGCAACTTTGCTCCACACCGAAAGGAAAAGGGGGGCAACCTTGGGCCTTGGAAAATTGCCCTCGCCATGAATCATGGAATGTGATAATTCCAGACATACATTTTTACTAACCAGCTTGTTTTGCTTCTGTAACCCGCTTGGTGTCTTGGGTCGCCTTGACACAGGGCATAAGACCACCCTTGTTATCCTGTTATTGTATGACCACCTGGAAGTCATTTACCCTGACTGTCTTATTTTACTTATTATGGCTAAAGCAGTTGGCTAGTTTTAAGGTCACAAAGTTGATTGCCAAGTTATATGACTGTATCACTTGTCTGTATAATGATTGGTTGTTGATTAATAGAGTCAAAATTCTGCTATGTTGTACAAACCTGATTGGTTCACAAGTGTCCTGTTTGAATAATATTTCTGTAATCCTATAAAAACTCTGACCCAACTAGCCGACAGCCCGGCCGGTCGAAAATTAAAATTTACCTTGCTACTTTTCTTAAAGTGGTGTTGGTGATTTTTTTACGAACTCTGTCCTATAACAGGCAATTCATCTAGGAAGGCCTCAGTCAAACTTTCCTGAGGTCTTCAGACCAGCTGAGAGGATCGGCTGAACACTGGAAGAAGGAGACTCTCAAACAGCTGCACTGGTTTCAATGAAAAACAAAGAAAAAGCAACCAAGCAAGTACCAACCATCGGCCTGAGACAGCCTGACCCCTAAGCACAGGGTCACTTTGATGAGCGAGTCACTAGCTTCTCACAGGGGAGAGGTCCAGGTAAAAGAGCAAGCTGTGAAGTGAGCTCACGTTGGGACTTAGGAGGGCTTCTTAACCCACGTGAGGGGAGAGGAGAGAGTGCAACCTCCCAGCAGGGGTTATAGCACATTCCAGACAGAAGTGCATTTGGCACCACTGCCCCAGGCCACCAAGCAAGGACCTCATGGTTCCCCAAGCTGAGCCACTTAAACTTCTGTTAGTGGCTTCCATTTCAAGGTTAGGCCACAGTTCTACCTACAGGAAATGACTTGATAAAAGCTGATAATGAAATATGCTCCTGGGGAGCTCTGTCAGTGCCATGTCTGCAAAAGGGCAAGAAAAGAACCCAATCTGGCCAGAGTCAACATGGGAAGAAAAGGCTCATCCTCAGTTACTGAGGAAGTCCAAGTTAGTCACCTGCTATGCTCATCCCTCCCTGTCCACAAAAGGGCAGGTGGTCCATCCCAGTACACTTAGGGTGACCAGACTTCAAGAAGAATCCCTGAAGTGGACAGACTAGCTAGGCTGAACCTGTCTCAATGTAATAATCAGCCCAGGGTAGAAACGTGACCCACAGATGAACAGACACAAAACATGCCATATCCACACCATGGGAAAACTGCCTACTCTAGAAAGGAGTCGGGTTCCAATACGTGCCACAACGTGGATGAACTGTAATCGTGATAAGCAACGTAAGCCACTCATAAAAGGACAAACATCATATGGGCCACATACATGACATATCTAGAATGGCCAATTCACAGTGATAGTAAGAGGACTGGAGTACTGGGGACTGGAAGGTGGGAGAATGGGGAGAAATGCATTGCTTAAGAGCTACAGAGTTCTGGTTTAAAGTGGTAGAAATTTCCAGAAATGTGATAGTAGGAATTTCTGTATAACAGTGAAAATGTACTTAGTGCCAATGAATAACAAAGTTACAAATTCGATGTTATATTTTAGAACGATAAAAAAAAAGGAAAGATAGGCTGGAGAGATGGATCAGCAGTTAAGAACTCTGGTTGCTCTTCCAGAAGACCAGTGTTCCATTCCCGGCACCCACATGACAGCTAATAACCATCCTTAACTCCAGTTCCAGGGAATGTGATATCTTCTTCTGGCTCCCATGGGCATTGCATGCACATGGTATGACATGCACATGTACTTGCATACATGCAGGCAAAATACACACATAAAATATAAATAAATAAATAAATAAATAAATAAATAAATAATAAATTTAAAGAAAGACATACGAAGCTGATTAGTTTCAACATTAGAATAATATAAACTACAGTGGTCTTTACATGTGTTGAAATATACTGTCACAACTACAAAATTACTGGCCAAGGAACTGGGGAATGACTCAGCTGGTAAAGTGCTTGCCTCACTAGTATGAGGGCCTGATTTCAATCCCCAACACTCACATGAAAAGCCCACGCGGTGCATGCCTCTAATCTCAGCAATTGTGGGGGAAGAGGCAGAGACAAGAGACTCCCTGGAGCTTGCTAGCCAGCCAGTCTAGTCAAATCGGTGAGCTCCAAGCTCAGTGAGAGATTCTGTCTCAAAAAATAAGATGGAGAGGGTCTGGAGAGATGGGTTAAGATCATTGACTTCTCTTATAGAGGACCTGGGTTCAATTCCCAGCACCTGCATGGTGGCTAACAACCATCTGCAACTCCAGTTCCAAGGGATCCGACACCTTCTGACTTCCATGGGCTTTGCACAACCCAGGTGCACTCACACACATGCAGGCAAGACACTCATACACATAAAATAAAAATAATAGATAAAATATTAAAAAAATAAGATGGAGAAGTGATTGAGAAAGACACCCAATGCCAACATCTGACCTGCAATAGCATGTACACATACATTGCATGTGAACCTGTGTGCACACACACAAACACATACACACACATAAACACACATACACCACACATACACAAAGGTAAATAATAAGTAGATGAATAAATAAATAACCTCTCATCAGGTGCTCAATTTCAGGAAGAAATATAGATGGGGGCTGGGAGCTGCCCTCCTGCTGGGTGGTCTGGATTGAATTATATCACTTCTGTACTGTGGTTTCTCATGGACAGTTGTTGGTAATGATGCTCTCCTCATGGGGTTATTTTAAGGTGTGGAAGAGCAGTTAGCCTATGCTTACAGCAGGTGTATACCATACAAACACTCCAGCCAGCTTCCCACATTCCCCTAAAAACCCACAGTTATGCTATCGGCTCATACCCACACATATGTGGCTTGACCACACATATCAGAACAGCACCATGGCCCACAACTCCTAAGAAGGACAGAGGGACTGCTGAGGAACCCACCAGACATCTAATGTGACTTTGTCAATTGGAAATCACTAATTCATTACACTGCAACATGCCCTGAACAGAATCTACTAAACTGAGAAGCTGTTCTAAATTAATGTTAAACAACAAAAGAAAGCTCAGCCTAGATCACCCCAAGACAGGTCCAACCCAAAGATAAGACAGAAGTGTCTCTGGCAAGAATCAAACCCCCTGCTTCTGATGACAAATCTCCAAAGTTTACTGCACCCCACAAAGTCCTTACGAACAGTCCCACCTTGGGAAGAGAGGCTTTCTCAACACAAAACCCACCGCCAAGGTTAAGGATGACAGGGGTGGAGTTCCTCAACCAAGCCAGGTGGTTCCACCTCTGTGAAGAGGCCACCTTGCTGGAACTCTGTTTTCTAAGATAGTGCTGCTATCTCTTGGAGGTCAAATGCTGGATAAATTTAATCATCTTAGGTTAAGAGCAACCTAGTAGGGACAGAGGAAAGATAATGCCTAGGAAACTGAATTGTTTGGCCCTGTGCCAAACAATTTCTGGAAGGATTCTTCCCCCATCTCCTTCTTTCAACACTCCAGGCCCCAAGAAGCACCAGGCAAGGATCTGGTGCTCCTTGGAGGCAGTGTCCTCAGTCTAGACCATGAACAGCTCACAGACCTGGACCCTGGCTCTGACCTCAGTGCAGGGCAGGGATCACCATTTAACAGGGACCCCTGGACCAGCAAGAGAGAAAGCTGCAGTCCAGCGAAACTTCCTCACTTCATAAGCATAATCTTGCATTGCATTAAAAGTTCAAGAATCAGGGCTGGAGAGGTGGCTCAGTGGTTAAGAGCATATTCTTGCATAAGGCCTGGGTTTGAATCCAGTTGTTACAGCTAACAACTGTCTGTAACTCCAGTTCCAGGGGATCCAATGACTTCTTCTAGCCTCTGCGGGCATTGCACAACACGGGTGTACTTGCCTACATGAACATAATACACACACATTTAAAAAAAGTTCAAGAAGCAAAAACACTGAAAAATTGTGGATGGCAGATGCTTCATTAGTGCAGTAGGTGTTAATGTGCCAGTCTCATAAAATCCTGGATCAGGACTGGGAATATAGCTCAGTGACTTGCCTAGCATGCATGAATTCTAAGAGTTCAATTCCCAGCACCACAGAAAGAAAAAGAAAGGGGGGGAGGGAGGGAGGGAGGAAGGGAGGGAAGGAAAGAAGGAAGGAAGGAAGGAAGGAAGGAAGGAAGGAAGGAAATTCACAAGTAAGTAAATAAATCTTTTGGAGGGCTGGGAAAATGCCTCAGGCAGTAAAGTACCTGCTGTGTGAGCATGAGGACCTTTGTTTGGATCCCCAGCACCTACAGAAAAAAAAAAAACAAAAAACAAAAAAACAGGCACAGTGTGTGTAACCTTAGTCTTGAGGGGTGGGAGGAGGGCAGACACAGGGAGATTCCTGAGGCTCACTAACCAGCCAGTCTAGCTGATTTGATAAGTTCCAAGTTCAGTGACAGACCCAGTTTTAAAAAATAAGGTGGAAAGACACCTGACCTTGACTTGTGGCACACACACACACACACACACAGTGAGCTTTTTTGGAGAACATCCTCTGCTCAATCCAGTATTGATTGGTGCCCAGCTAGAGGGGAAAAAAAAAAAAATCTTAGACTGTTTGGGGGCGGGGGCGGTAAAGAGCAAGACAGCTGAGATTGATTGGTAATGTCTTGGGGGAATGGGAGGGCGTGGTCCTTGCA